TCAAAACGTCAGCTTTTTTTATTCGTTACGGTGGCCAATTTACATATTTCAACTGAGTTGATATAACCAAATTACATTGTTACCCCCACCGACGCAGCACCACAGTTTCTCTAGAAACTTTTAGCCTTTAATCGCGAATGTTGTTTGGTAAATCTACTTCCTTGATCACTGAATGTAGGACTGTGGAATTAGAGCAACGAAAGGAGTTACTTGATCAATGAATAACTGTACCTTGCGTTAATTGACACGCCGGTAAACCGGAAACCAAAAGAGGTGTTCAATAGGCCTGTGCGACTCCTGCCATTCGCTAGCGCTTTTAAATATTCTGTCTTCAGAGTTATGCTCTTATTAAGGTATATCATAATGACTTTCCTTTGCGATGTGAAAGTAAGGGTTAGTTTTAAGATGTCATTTCCCCATCTTTCAGTAAGTTCCTTTATTCAGTCGGTAACTTCATTTTCTTCAATTGTCGATTGTTATTATCTTGCCACAGCAAGTTCCATATTCTTCGATTCCAAGACATTATTACAAGTAACTCACAGCATCAGAATAATTGTCATAGCTGCTCTATACAGTGCTTCAATATTTTCTGCATCCAATTTCAGTGCCTCCTTGCAACTGTATAGAGCATCTTCTGGTTTGTTCAACTTCAAAAAGCAATGGGCCATTTTAGCGTAAATTAATAAATCTGGCATCAAGTCACAGCACTTGTTATATAATGCAATAACATTTTCATAACTTTTCGTCTTTAGTGGGGCATTTCCTTCTTCTTTCAGCTTGTCGCACGTAAGCTTCTCCACCCTTTGCTTCTCAGGAATCATTTTCCATGAGGTGCCAATAAAGGTAAATCCTCCGGTTGCACATGCATCTAAAGCGGCAACATTGCAATATCTGACCTCTGACTCCCAAATTCCTCTCAAGTGTTTTCGCAAGCCGTCCACAACCATTCTAAACAGCATTTGCTGATGCCTTTCATAGAAGGAAAGATATGAACAGTCAACAGTTGAAAATTGTTCGTAAAGATATCGACACTTGTCAAAAATGAAAGCGTTTGCAAGTTGGATTATGACATCAAAAGAATGTGACAGCAGGTGAGTCAAAAGCAGGGAGGCTATATAAGATTTTTTGAAAAGTTTAACAACCTCAGATCTGGAAGTATTTCGTTAGTCCAGGACTTTGAAAGACTGTTGCTTTCTAACATCTCTTGTATTTGGGAACCAATATCTTCCAAATATGATGCAAATATGATGTTATGATGGTGTCCTCAAATAATTCCTGGAGCTCTGTGAGTACTTCCTTAAGAGGCTCTGGACGTTTGCTAATTTCACTGGTTTTGTGCAGTTTGGCAGAAGGATCAGACCTACTGCATGCGGCTTTATAATCTGAATCTGTTGCTTTCTGTTCAGTGGAAATTTTCTCGATTAAATCCTCTTTCTCTAAAAAGATTTGATCCCATAATGACCACAAACTTCCTGATTTTGAAGGAGACAACATTCTTTGAGCAGGAATATATACAAGTATTACCGCAAATTCAGAAATAAACGACCCTTTTTATTTTCATAATTTATAGCCTTTCTGCCTCATTGTTTTAGTTGGTTGCTTCTTCGGGGAGTCGGTACTCTTGGAATTTTATGGTAACTAGCACAGGGAACCATTAAATATGTCTGTTATAACCCGAAGTCAGGATATAAGGGCCAAAAGAAGAGCGTTACAAAGGAGTTTGTTACCTATGAGTAACTTTCAGGCTCGATCTTTAATGGCATTGCCGATCTGATTAAGTCCCAATCCGAACTGAGGAGACAATTAAAGAAATACTATCAGGTAATTTTTTTCATAGAAATGACTCTTCTGGTATAAATGTTTTTGCCATCACCGAATCATGGTTGTCCGAAAGGGACATGGCCCATAAAACGGAGATTACGCTACCTGGATACAACTTGTTTGAACATCAGAGAGTTGGTAGAACAGGCGGAGGGATTGCATTGTTATTGAATGAAGCCACCGATGTGCGAAAAGTGGACAGTGGTGAAGGCAGGTCGTTCGAGTTTGGTGAATGGATTCTGGAACACGGGTCTAGTAAACTAAGGGTGATTGTAATCTACCAAATTCCCTACTCTGCCGCCCATCCTGTCTCTACAAGCGTGTTTTTGGACGAGTTCCTGGCCTATTTGGAATCCGTTGTTATGTCCCCTGAGCCATTGTTGATCACTGGCGATTTTAATATCCATGTGAATGTTCCCAATGATTCAGACGCGGCTCGTTTCCTGGAACAGCTGACCTTGATGGGCCTCGACCAGCACGTCGACACTGAGCCTACGCACATTTCTGGACATACGTACGCTGGATCTGATTATAACTCGATGCTTGTACTCTTTGCTCTTTGCTAAGCCTATGGCTGATTATTTGTTCTCTGATCATATTACTGTTCTATGCGATCTTGAGTTGGGAAAACCACCCCCGAATGTAAAACAAGTGTCCAACAGAAAAARTCAAGGACATTGACAGGTAAAAGCTACAGGTTGATCTATTGTCTTGCGAGCTCTGCCAAAACACTCCGGATACCCTTGATGAACTCGTTAACACCTTTAACACAACCCTAGCTCATGCTCTTGATCGGCATGCACCATTGCGTACAAAAGTGATACACTCTAGGCCATTAGTTCCCTGGTTCAGTCA